CTCTCCTATCCAAATCTCATGCCTGTATTTATGCTATTTCCTGTACCTGAATATTCCTGCTTGTCTTGCTAATGTCTATTCATCTTTCCAGATCCAGACTGAATGTCGCCTCTTCCAGGAAGACTTCCCTGACCTCAGGGTGATTAACCTCCCCTCTCTCGCCTCTTTGCAGTCTTTCCTGTCATTGCTAAGGTCACTCTGCACAGTCATCTTGTGTACATCCCCTGATCTCACTTCCTCAAAGGCAGGGACTGCAGCTGACACACGGAAGGAGCTCAGTCAATAAACTAAAGGGTCCACAACCCAAGTCCCTACCTCAGTGAAGCCTTCCTGGATGCCCTAGAGCAGGGCCTGCCACTCTCCACAGTATTGGAGGCCTGTTGTATGTGTAACACAGGACAAATGGCAAGGACTAACATGAATGTCACAAGTTCACAAAACCCTCCATCCTTGAGAATCTGAGAATTCTGACTCTATTTTCCAGATAGGAGTGAGATTCTCAGAGAAGTAAGCCCCCTAGCCATATCCCAGACAAAAGGCCTGGAATCCTGGCTCTTTGGCTTCTAATAAGCCTTGGGAAGTGGTAAGGGTGGCTATGGTGAGCCTGGCTCTGCCCACTTGCCACTTAGCCATGGAGCCAGCTCCTTGCCAGACTGTGGGTACCTCAGGGCAGGGAACAGCTGCAATCTCAGCACGCAGCACAGGAGGTTATAGGTACAGAGAAGGCCCAAGGAAAGCTCAAGGAATCACACTGAAGCTAAAAGCAGGGCTTCCTCCAAGAGGAATGGGGCAGTCCCATTAATGATTCCTTCATTCAACAAATACTAAGTACCTATTACCAGTGCCAGGCACTGTGCTATATCCTGGGGTCACAATACTGAGAAAGATAGACAAGGTTCCTGTTCCCAAGGGACTGATATTCTTCTTTCTGATTGTTCTTTTTGTTTTGTTTTGAGATGGAGTCTTGCTCTGTCACCCAGGCTGGAGTGCAGTGGCACAATTTCGGCTCACTGCAAGCTCCTCCTCCTGGGTTCAAGCGATTCTCTTGCCTCGGCCTCCCCAGTAGCTGGGATTACAGGCACGTACCACCACACCTGGCTAATTTTTGTATTTTTAGTAGAGATGGGGTTTTACCATGTTGGCCAGGCTGGCCTTGAACTCCTGACCTCAAGTGATCCTCCCACTTCAGCCTCCTAAAGTGCTGGGATTACAGGCATGAGCCATGGCACCCAGCCAACCAAGGGATTGATATTCTTTTTTTTTTGAGGCAGTCTCACTCTGCCGCCCAGGCTGGAGTGCAGTGGTCTGATCTAAGCTCACTGCAACCTCCACCTCCCAGGTTAAAGCGATTCTCCTCCCTCAGCCTCCTGAGTAGCTAGGATTACAGGCGCACGCCACCACACCCGCCTCATTTTTGTATTTTTAGTAGAGACAGGGTTGTGTTAGCCAGGATGGTCTCAATCTCTTGACCTCCTAACCTCCTGATTCGCCCACCTGCCTTAGCTTCCCAAAGTGCTGGGATTACAGGTGTGAGCTTTTATGGGGAGACAACTGCTTAAACATATAAGCACACATGAAAATTTAGGTAGTGATAGGGGCTATAAAAATAAAACAAGATGTGGTGGTTGAGAGTGGCTCTCTAGATGGGGTGGCCAGCGAATACCTCTGAGAGGAGACTGAATGTTCTAGAGCCAGCCATGCAAAGACCTGGGCAGAAAGGCAGCATATTCAAAGGCCCTGAGATAAGACTGAATTGGGAGTCATGCTGCAGGAACAGGAAGACTGCCATGTGTCTGCAGCATAGTGGGTGACATGGTAGGAGAGGAAGTTGTGAGGCAGTGGGGACTGTTCAGATGGGGCTTCCTTCACAGGCCAGGAGGAAGAGTTTGGAAAGTCTGAAGGGTGACTGGGTGTGGGGAGGGAGCAACTGGAAGTTCAGCTGGCAGCCAAAGCTCTGAGGGATCTTGGTTTCTCTAATCGACTAGGGCAAGCTTGAGAAGGGATAAGCTGCCACTCACATCATGGAGACCACAGGGCAACCTTCACTCATTGAGCAAACTGTTGAGAACCTACAAAGCACAGAGCTCTGCACTCAGCCCTTCATGGCCTCATCACCCTTTGGTTTAAGGAGTCAGGCCACAGACTGGGAGATGGATCTGGGTTCTAGCCTGGCTTTGATAACCCTGGGAAAGTCCCTTCTTTCCGGGGACCCCAGTGATCCCATCTGCAACATGAGGGTTGGGCCCAATCCAGCACTAGTTTTTACAACTCAAGTACTTCCTGTTGAATTTGAGGGCAGGAGGGTGGAGGTGGGGCAGGATTTCAACACTGGCAATTGAGTCACTGAGCCTGTTAATACAACATTACTCTTGGCCCTCAGTTCCCAGCCTAGATGAGCCCTTGGTAATACAGCCCCAAAGTGGCCTCTGTGCAGCTGGGGAAGTGATGTAGGTGAGGCGGGGAGCTACACAGAATTGGAGAGGGGAGAATGAGAGAGAACAATAGAGAGAGCATGAGAGGGGAGCATTGGAGAGAACACTCTATGTTGTCATCCTATGACTTTGGACTAGGTTAGGTGACTGTCAATCCTCAGTTCCCAGTTACCCCCAACAATCTAGCCACTTAGTTTCAGGCACATCTATAGTGATGTAGGACTCCACCCTCACCCACCCCAGCCTGCTGTAGTCCTCAACAGCTGTCAGAGAGGACTCATTAAACAAAACTTGCATCCATCATCCCACTCCTGTTTCTAGCCTTGCTCTTCGAAGCCTCACACAACAAATCAGCTCAGAATTTTACTGGGACCACCATCATCTCATGCTGGGTCCTGTGCTGAACCCTGAGGATACAGACAGGTATCAGAGGGCTCATCTAAATGAAAAATCCCTAGTCCAAAGGCAAGGATGACGAATAGGATATATATCCCTCCTGACCTGATGAACTCTGTAGCTTCCATGCCTGGCACAGGACAGCCCTCCAAAAATTAGGAAATATCAATACAGACTCCTGCTTCACCAGCATGCACCCACCTACCCACCCCCCCACAGCTGGCCTTTTTTTTTTTTGGCCAAAAAACCAGATGCCAAGGTATCTATTTCAATCTCTCACCCATCACAGGACTTCCCTTCACAGAATCCATGGTCTCTCCTTGAATACTGTAACTGACAGGCTGTTCACCAGCTCAGAACAGTGGGACCTTATCTGCAGAGGCAAACTAGGCCACTGGAGAGTATCTTCAAGGACCAAGGATGTAGAAAGCAGGTCTAATGGAGATGCCCAGATAACAAAATGTGCTTCAGTGCCCTCCCCTACTCCACCCAATCTTTCACCAAAGTAGATCCCAGAAAGCTAAACTGACTGGTTTACATTTCATACCAGCCCTTCCTACACGCCGTGGTGTACATTCCTTGCACCCAGTTTTAAAAAAAAAAGTTTTCAAGATCTGATAAAAACATGGAGAAATGTTCCTGACATGATATTAAGTGGCTTGGTTAAAACCAATCGCTAGAGTACAAGTTCTCCTGAGTTACAAACTCTAAGTCAAAAACATGACAGCCAGGGTCACTGGCTCCTGGAAGACACAGCTCCTAGCCTGCGGATGGCAGAGCTGAGGGAATGGGATCTCCAGGAAGTAGCACCACAGAGAACATTCCTATCCCACCATCTAGTGCAAAAACATCTTTAAATGCATGAACACAGGCAAGTCCCTTCATTCCCAAAGGACATCAAAGGACAGAGGGAACAGAAAAGGACTCAAGTGAGAGAAGGGGCTGTCAGAGGCTACTGCCAGGGTGCATGGGGCAGCTCAGGCTACTTGCCCCGGAGACAGGGTAGCAGCTGTGTATCTCTTCAAGGGCAACAAGCAGCACCCACACCAAGAGAGGCAGATAACCACAGCGATAGTCACATAAGGACCAATGCCAATGCCCAGGTCACAGTTAAAGTGTGGTACAGTTGCAGGTGGGTTATTGCAACCACTAGATCATTATAAGTGATTCTGATTAACAGGAGAGAAACCTCAATGTTACATTAAAGGGGAGAAAACAAGATTCATAACTCTATCTATAGCATGTCCTCAACTGTATCTATGCAATGTGTATAAAGAAAATCAGAAATATACTAAAATGCTAATAGGAAGCTATCTTTGGACAGTCGATTTACTAGAAATTGTTTGTCTATATTTTTCAAAATTCCCATAATTAGCAGGCTTTATTTTTATAACAGAGGTGGGTGGAGTAGGCGACTGTTACATTACTAAAGAAAAATCCATGTCAGAGAGGCTCAGAAAGCAGAATACAGACTTAGAAGGAGAGAGAGGGGCTTCACGCAAGACACACACGGACCAGGATGGCTGTGGTGACTTCCCAGGGTCTCCCGGGGTTAAGGTATCAGCTAAGGAAACCCTAGGCATGCTTCCTCCCAATTCAGTTTCTCCAACTCTAGGTAAGGGATGTGGGGGTTGGAAGAGCTGCTCCTCCTTGCATGGGAAAAGCTGCGGGGGGTGGGAGGGGGATTCACTGCAACTCTGCCAATTCACTGAGGACCTCAGTTACCCTGGAAGACATGCAGGGGCCTCCCCGCTGCGTTCTTAGCGTGCCAGGCTCAGAGTTGCTGCTGGGTGGGCTCCAGAGCCTGGGCGAGAGGATGGGCGTGGGCAGAGCAGGGCAGACACACCTGTTCCAGTCGGGCATGTCACCGTCTGGTGGCTGTCTCAGGAGATTGCAAAACCCATGCCATCCTGCCCCATCCAGGGCACCTGGTGCAGGGAGATGGGACCACTCCCACCTCACGGATGAGGGAAACAAGCCGCGGGTGGTGGTGGACAGTGATGTAACAGAAGTCGCAAAAACTGATGAGTGCCAGAGTGAAGGAACACGCACCCACCAGCCTGCCACAGGGCCCTTCCCAGAAAATCTTCTCGCAGGTCCATAACCCCAGGACGGAAGCTGCCCAGGCCTTGGAGCCCCCTGCGCGGTGGCGCTCACCCCGCTGACACTCACCCCATCTCCCAGACCCCTCGCGCGACAGCGAAGGTCCTCCGTGAGAGCGCTGGATAGGGTCAGCCTTGGCCCGACCCTCGCCGCGTAGGACCCCGGAGTAGGCGGCTATGAGGGTCTTCATGCTGAAGCCCGCCCCGTCACGGCTCCTCGGGAAGCCGCCTCACCCAGCGCCCTTGGCCCATGCCCCGGCCGCCGGGGCCAGGGCTTCGCGCAGAGCACGGGGGCACCGGGACAGCGCCGAGACTGGGCGGCTAGGACACCGGCAGCTGCGGCCGGCGGCCAGTGGCGGCGCGGGAGAAACAGCCTAGAGCCCAGCAGAGACGGCGACCACAGCGCTGGCGTCCCGGAGCGCGGCACCTTATCACCTCACAACCCGGCGGGCGGCGACGCAGAGGGCGGGGCGGGGCGCGGCGCGGCGGGACTGGCCGTTCCAAGCCGCGGCCAAAGCCACTTGCTCGCGGGGGAACAACGCCTGACGCTCGGCTCGGCGCGGGCCCAGAGCGGGCCGGCAGCCTGCTTGGCGAGAATCCAGGGAATGAGTGAGAGGTGAGCAGCTCTGAGCCCTCCTTCAAGGGAGCGCGCCCGGTTATTCCCGCTGCTCCCTCAGTCCGCCGCCGGGCGCTCCCCCGCGGAGATTGGTACGGCCCGGCGGCCGGTACCTGGGCGAGGAAAACCGAGCACGTGCAGCGCAGGCAAGGGCGTGCAGGGGCTCGACCCTTTTCTCTTTTGGCCGGGCTGTACTTTGGCGGCAAAGATGCGAAGGTCCTGCTTTTGGTCACTGGTATCAGGATTAGTTAGATTGGGGCTGAGTGTCTAAACCACCCAAACTGCTTCTGGCTTTCTATCTCTTTATCAAGAAACCCCACAGAGCACTTATTCCCTTCTGGGTGCTGGAGACCCAGCCAGATTAGCCCAGGTTCTGCCCTTGGGATGCTCACCTTGAGGGGGCGGCAGAGACAGCCACGCACAGTCACTGGTGACAACAGCTGAGACAAGCGAGAAATCAGGGGACTATGGAACCACAGAGGAGAGAGGACTCTGCCTTGGGATGGGGGAAGTGGGGCTGGTGCATTTCCCAGAGAGGTTGGTGTACAGCAGTTTTGGAATCAGATAGACTAGGAGTCCAGTTCTTGCCCTGCCTCTCTTGAGCCTCAGTTTCCATATCTGCAAAATGGGAATAATAATTATTATTTTTGGGAGGTGCTTTGAGAAGTATATCAGGTAAGGTACAAAAAGAGCCTAGGTAGTGTCTGGCACATAGAAAGCTTCCAGAATTGTTTGCCTATTAATGGGTAGGAATTTTGCAGCTGGAGGACGTGAGGGCAAAGCAGAAAGATAGGCATAAAGTGTTAGAAAAGCCAGCATGTTTGGGGCAGGGCTGGGGACTCTGGAGTGGCTGGAGCCCAGCCACCTATCAAAAATGAGGCTAAAGTGGGAGGCGTGGGTGCTAGAACTGAGGGAGTCTTGGAAGTGCCACTCTTGAGACATCAGGGTAGAAGTTGAGTCTTGGGAGAGCTTTAGTAGGGAAATGACTGGTCAGGTGAGTTTTAAGAGCCCTTAGCCATTGTATGGGAATTGGACAGGACAGGCTGTAGGCCAGGAGGGCAGTGGGGAGTCTGTGGGGCGGGGGGAATCCATGTGAGAGAGGATGAGCCTCTAGGCAGGGCAGTGGTAGAGGGAATGGAGGGAAGGCCTTGTCTAGAGAAGAGCATAGGAAGCGAGATCCACCAGAATGTGGTGGAGCAACTTGTTGGATGGGAGGCTCAGGGAGTGAGTGGGGACAACAAGCATGGCAGTGACAAGACAGATTTCTTAGGCATAGTTGGAACAGCTAGCTGTGTGTTCACAGCATAAGACTGTGGTCTGTATCATGTTCTCACAGGGAGAGGGGAGAATGACAGAAGTTAACAGGCGCAGGGCAGTAGGTAATAAATGCCACTGGTGCAACCTAGAAACACTTCCGTTTGTTCAGTCCTCTCAAGGCCACAGGGATAAGTCTCTCAGACCCTGTCACTGGGCCCCAAGGCCTGAGTTGGCCAAGAGTAGAAAGAAAAGGATCCCAGGCAGTGGGTCTGGCATGTGTTGAGGCCGTGAGGCTGGAAAGATCTTAGTGCCTTTTAGGAAACTGAGGGTAGGCTAGTGGCATGCCACGTGTGGGGGATGGGGGGAGACAGGGAGACTGGTATGTGCAAAGGCTGGGAGGTGGAAACAGGTGTGGTTTATTTTTGGGCAAGGAGGAGTGAAGCCAGGAGGAAGCTGAAGGTGCCAGTGAATCCTGGCATCCTCTCCTCAGAGAGGGTGCTCTTGGAAGCAAGACTCCTGCTGGCCTAGAAGATCCCAGGTCAGTCTGTGGCTTGTGCCTGCTCTGGAAATGTCTCCTGTGGAAGAGGCCTGGACTGGAACTCAGGGCCCACTCTCTCACCTTGAGCAAATCAGTGTCACTATCTTGTCTAGGTTTCAGTTTCTGCATCATGAAATGGAGGTGACAGTTTCTGTTTTGCTGACTTCACTTGAGTATTTGAGAATCAAGTGAAGTTACAGCATGTAAGAGTGTTACCATTGTGCTGTAATGTAAGACATCATTGTCTTAAATGGCAAGACTTGGAGTTACCAAGGCCTTTTTGAAACATTCAGATCCCAGGTTCATCTCCTTCAGCACATTTTTGCTGTGCACCTTCTCTGAGCCCGGCCCTCTTTAGGACACAGAGAGTAATTGGACTTAGTCCCTGGCTTCGAGGGGACCCAATCGAGAGATGGTGTCCTAAAGCCAATGATCCTAAGACCACCAGATTGTGGCACAGGGTAACATGGAAGGCAATGCCAAGTTTGGCCTTTCCCCCTGTGCTGTCACTGTCTGCCTGCCTTTCCACGGGCCCAGGAGTTTCACAAGGGCAGGAACTTCATCACTTTGTATCCTAGTGTGGGCCTAGCTTGGCATAGATGCTTAGTTCAAGGTGGGCTGCCCCCTGAAAAAGAATAGTAAAGTCATAGAGGAAGGGGAGGGAATGGTAAATTGGAAAGGTCAAGAAGAAGTGACATTGCCACAGGACCTGAGATGAGAAGTCTGATTCTGTAAGGCACAGGGGAAGGGGAAAGATGTCAGGCAGAGATTATAGCATGGGCAAAGGCCTGAAGGTGGGAACTGTGAGCATCCTGGTGTGATTGGAAGAAAGATACAGGCAGAGGAGGGGTAGGAAGTGAAGCTGGAGACAGACAGGAAGTGAGGCTGAGGATAGGGACCAGATCTGAATGGTCTTGTGGGTTCCGCTAAGAAGCTTGGACTTCATCCTGTGGGGGATAGACCAAAGGAGGAGTGTGAGCAGAGAGGCACCTTGATCAGATTGGTGGATTAGAAAGATCAGCGGGGTTGGTGGTGCCGTGATGGGTGCTTGGGGAATAGGGCCATAAAATCTGGTGATCCCCAGCTTAGGCCCTTCCCATGTGGGAATGTCTATGAGTGGATGCAGAGGCAAGTCCAAGGGCTGAGAGGCACAATTGCTTGCTTTTGTACCATCTCACAGAGCGAAGGGCCCCTGGCATCTCAACTTCTAGAAGACTCCTTCCCCTTGGCTTCCAGCCGCCATGCCCATGGCTACTACTTAAACAGCTTGGTCCAGATTGGATTTGGAAGGAAAACCAGACCCAAACTTAAGAGTAGCCCAGAAAGGAAGTTTCTTGGCAGCTTCCTGTGCCCTGGGACTCTTTTCCCCTGTGTGAGGTGGGACAAGGGTGGAGGGCTCACACCAGACTCTGACTTCTCCTGGCCCCTTCCTATGCCTCCTGACATCCCTAGACTCCTATAATGACCAGCCCTGCCCTTCCTGCAAGTGTGTGAGCAGGACAGCTGTGAGAATGTGTTCTAGGACCTGGTTACCTTCCCTTCACCATCTCTCAACCCATGGGTGCTTTGGGTAAATCAGAGATTGGTCTAGTCATGCCTCCAAGAAGGTCTTGACCAGGGTGGGCTTTGTGGTCCTGCCAAGAAGCTTGGATTTCATCCTGTTGGGGGATGGACCAAAGGAGGAGTGTGATGAGAGAAACATCCATAAGGATGGCTCATCCTTGCACCACTTCAGTCACCAGTGTTGTACTGCCCTTGAGGATTGTGTGCAGCTTTGTAGTTCATGAGGGGTTGATGCATGCACCTCTGAGATACGTTTCAGGGATGGCAGTCTTAGCTCCTCCATTGCACACATCCTTGAGGAGGGTAAGTGGCCAGCCTATAAGGCAGAAAGGACATTTACCCTAAAAAATGCACAGGTAGAAAGATGGAAACAAACATGTACCAAGCTCCCTGCTCTGTGCTGGGCCCTGGCTTGTGTGAGCTTGTGCAGTCCTCACAGCCACCCTATAAGCGGTGATTACCCCCACCCCTTTGCAAATGGGATGCGGGGAAGTGAAGTGACTTATCCTGGATCACACAGGGAGTAAGTAGTAAAACTGGAATTCACACTAAGTCTTCCAGACCCTCAAAGCTGTACGCTTTTCCTGCCTCCCAAGGCTGGGAGAGGGAGCACCTGAAACATCAGAACTACTGGATGGAAGCAAATTGCCATTCATTGCCTCCTTTATGCTCCCCCCACAGCCCTGTGAGGTTAGTCCCATTTTGCAGTTGGCAAAATGAAAACTCAGGGAATTAAAAAGCTTACACATGGGGTTGGAATTTAACCAGTTCTCCTGTTCCAAGGCTAGGGCCCATTGGGATTAAACTCCTTTCAGTGCTCAACTCACTTAGAGAGTGGGCGGGCAGTGTAGAGGCAGCCTGGCATGGCCCTCTAGCATGTAAACCTACCCGCCTCCTTATTCCAAGGAATTTGCCAGCCAGAGCAGCTGTGTGGCATGGCCACACCCCTTTTGGAACTCTTTGCTTCCATTTCCAAGCCCCCTACTGTCCCTCTTCCTGGTGACTTCCCCGCATGCTGCTTGGTCATCAGGGGCCTGATGGTGTGTAGTCTTGGATGGCAAGCAGTCTTGGTTGGCAAGCAGTCTTGGTTTTTAACAGGATTTTATGCTTTGGAAAGATCATCTCCCAGGCAAGAACACCTTTAACTATCACCTCCATGGCACCCTTCCTGACTATCTCTGCCTTGTATTAGTCAGTGTCCCTGTGGGAATCAGCCCACCCAAACTGGGTAATCTGAGGACAATTTAATACAAAGACTGTTCGCAAAGATGAAAGCAAGCTATGACAAAACTCAAGGGATGGCGCAGTAGCCCAGGGATGGTCACCTCATAGGGCATTTGGCCTAAAGGACTAAAAGGAGGACACAACAGGTGCAATGGGGGCAGAGTAGAGAGGGCTGCCACATGGAAGCTGTGGCCTTTGCTGAAGGGGCACAGACAACCCACAGGAACCTGGCAGGGTCTCTGCCA